AAGTAAACAGGTCGCAACAAACGATAGTGTAAGACGTTGAATTACGATTTCTCTGGCGCATTTGTGGCCACCTGGTCAACGTAAACCGATATTTTTATATGCGATCGTAAATTATTCGCGGTGTACAGCGTAGAATGTAGCTCGACCGTTAGCCGCAAGCTTACTGCCGCGTATTGTTTACATTATAAATATATTGCAAACTTCAAAGGGAGCATGTGTATCGATATGTCATTGAAAATGGCATATCCGATATGCAGATAAGCTGATACAGCGAACAGCTTTAGTATCTATACAAATATCGAGCGTCAGAATTGAAGTTTACTTATAGGTACAGGGCGGAACTAAAGACCCTAGATACAAATAAAAAAAATAGTTTAATCGTACTAAATCCATCACAGATACAAACCTCCTCAAATTCTGGCTTCCAAATAACACCAGACCATTAATGATCTCTCACTTTTACCGGTTGTTTGAGTCTCCTGCTTAATCCTCAAACTTTGTTAATTGTCAATTATGTTATTACTGACATCGTAATAGGGGTGAGCCATATGACACGATTTCAGGCTTGGTGCAAAATTATCAATACATAGGTTAAATAAACTGGAAATATGATTTAATTTCATTGTATTTATTGAGTATAGGTATGTATCTACTTACACTTGACAAATTCACACATTCACAGATTCAATACTTAACAAATTGACGAATAACAAGTTCACAATTTTTATATTTCATTGAATTTTAACTGGGTTAGATTGCCAGGTCGGACAAAATATTATTTGTACCTTAAAAACTCTTAGTAAAGACAAAAAATTTTGTGTGAATTTATTAAATTCCGAAGTTTATATTTCTTTTCTGGCAGTTATCTCATTTCTTATTTAGAACTATACTATCGCTTCAACACTTCTACTTTCATAACACAGTTTGCTGAGGCCGAGGACCATTATATTGTTTATTTTTGGCTAACGACATTTTGCTTTTACGTACAGCTATGATAAAAATATCGTGGCAACATTTTTCATTTTGTAAGACAAATATTAAACTGCCCAAAACGTTTTCCATTGCACTAACCGCTTGCATATTTATACCTGACCATAATATGAAACTGCGTGAGTTCATTATTGTATACTAGCTTTTACCCGAGGCTTCGCTCGCGTCACAAAAGGATAAAAAGTAGCCTATGTGACATATACCAATACACACAGTGCCATCTGTACCAATACTTTTTTTTTCCCTCGAGAATATCAAATCTTTCCGGGATAAAAAGTACCCTATTATTTAATCTAGACTTCTAACTTTACGTCAGCAAAAATTCAAAGCAATCGGTTTAGTAGTTACGGCGTGAAAGCGGAACAAACAAACAAACTCACTTTCCGATTTATAATATTAGTAAGGAAGTAAGGATATAGTAAGGATATGTGGTAAGCTATTAAAATGCGGTTTTGCACGAACTGTTTGGAATGAAGTTACTAGATTTGTATCAGTAAATTAATATAAGTACCTAAATATGTAGGTACCTTACCTACTACGCCGATTTATTACCGCATATATAATATTGCAAAATGTTAGTATAACATGTTTAGTTTATATTGTTTACAACTGGATAAAGTACTAGATGACTTTTATTAAGTAAATTCACGAATGCATCACCTTCCTATATGTATAATAAACTAGTACGTCCGCGCGGTTTCACCCGCTGCTCGACTACTAGACGACCACTACTGTCAGACACAAAAATAAATAATATTTAACACTGTGTATAAATTATTTATCGTACACGTATCTACCAAACGGAGAAATCTTTACAGTGTTGATACAAATAAATAAATAATATAAAATAAGCAAATTAGGCAATATCTTATCTGACTGCCTCGTTGGCCAAGTGGTCGCAATTGCGATTGCCGGGCAAGGGGTCTCGGGTTCGAATCCCGGGTCGGTCGGTATTACTGGGCGTTTTCAAAAAATCTCAGTAGTAGCACGAAGTCTGGAAGTGTACCCAGTATAATTATGGTAATAGGCTCATCCTCTATTAAATGGGACTCATAACAACTATTTATGTTATGAGTGGCACCGTGCCGTAATGTACACCTCTGCCTACCCCTTTGGAGATAAAAGGCCTTGATGTTATGTTATCTTATCTTACTAATATTATAAATGCGAAAGTTTGTGAGGATGTATGTGTGTGTGTGTGTGTGTGTGTTAGTCTTTCACATCAAAACGGCTGAAGGGATCAAGATGAAATTTGGAACAGGGACAGATTAGGTATATAGTCTGGAATAGGCCACTTTTATCCCACGGGAACACGGGCTAAGCCGCTGGCAAAAGCTAGTAATTATATATTTGTATAAAATATTGGACAAATGAAAATCAGTATGACATCACGCCTTTTATTCCTGAAGGGGTAGGCAAAGGTGTTTTTCAAAAAATCTCAGTAGTAGCACGGCGTCTGGATATGGCCCTGGGCTGTGCCCAGAATATGGCAATAGGGTCATCCCCTATTAAATAGGACTCATAACAACTATATATATTGACAAATGAAAATCAGTATGACATCACGCCTTTTATCCCCGAAGGGGTAGACAGAGGTACGCACATTACGGTTGCCATTTTACAATGTAACACCCAATTTTCACTATTTATGTTGAGTCCAATGTTATATATCTACTGGACAAAATTCCAGACTCCGTGCTACTACTGTGTTTTTTTTTTAAACTCAGTAGTGCTTTGCCCTATCCCGGCAGTTGCACTTGCGACCACTCGGCCAACGAGGCAGTTTGAATAGAAAAAAACAAATAATTTATAACATCGTTTGTGAATCAAAGTTTAACAGTACCTACATAGATATAGTTTTAAATTCGTCGGCGTTGTGATGCCGGCTAAGTGATCCCAATTTAAACTAATAACAGATAACAACTTAACAAACAATTTCATTTAGTGGTGACTTACTTAAGATAACAGAAATAATGACATGAGACGAGGTCAGTCCGTATCTCAATATGATTAGGTCATACGTACTTACAGGGAAACCATTGAGGATATGTAATAAATTAGTTAGTTTGTAGGTCTCTACAGGAAATTGCGGCGTGTGTAAGTATTACTATACCTATTTACACGCTGTCCATTTTAACAATTAGCAAATTCGTTCGTTAATGTATTTTCCAATAGCCGCAAACTCATATGCCGCTATCATTGGAAACACCGTTGCCAAAAAAAAACTGCTATCGAATAGCTTTCCACCAATTCGTCCTAAGCTTACAGTACTTAACATTTTTTTAACTGACACACCTAGGGGGCAAAGAACTTTTTTATTTATAGCTTTTATATAGTTTTAAGTATTACATTTAATTTTATAGAATATATTGCCCATTATTTTATTTATGTGGGTAGTTTTTTTATGACAGGCATAAAACTTACCTATATAGGTAAATACCTAACCTATATTGTATAATTTTTAATAAATAATCGAAGTACAAAAATAGACTTGTGTGACCGTGGGTTCGTCCTTGATTTCGATCACCTTTAGAAAACTTATTTCCCGAAGACAAAGCAGAATGTATGAAGTCTATTCATTGCCCAGTCGAGCGCACACTGTATAATGGGCTGCCTATTTATAATAGCTTCAGAGGCTCAGAGCCATTCAGTGGACATGGAGGACGCCAGCATCGCTCCATTTAACATACGCGCATGCTTCACGTCACCAAGGCTGGGGCCAAGACGGCTCTAAACGGGGTCGACGACAACAAACCATACCTTTAATTCAATAACACACAAAGTTCCTCAGCATTCCCTCGCTTTACAACAAAATATAAACAAACGTCAATCTCTCGAGTAAAATATTGTAACACTTCCCCATAACATTCTTGAAAGTGTATAATTTTATAAATAACCACGTGATAGTCGTCGAGTGACCTACTATATTAGCGGGGTATGGAATCTGTTGAGGTATTTGGTTCTCAATTTCTCGGGGGGTTAAGTAAACCCAGGTCCTCAATTAATAAGTATCTGTCAATCCTCGGGAGATTCTGCAAACGCTCAGTTCGAAGCAAACAATGGTAGTAATGTCGTTATCTCCCTGTGCATTTATCGTTGTATATAAACAAAGTAAATAAGATCAGTGAGCATCGACTAGTGTCCTTCAATTTTGATGTGTACTAGTACCTATTATTATTGAATTGCCAATATTTGTCGCGTCTAACTCGATAATGGTTCTCATCGCGGTTAGCGCGCCGCGCCGGTGTCGGAGCACACGGCCAGATTCTCGACTCTAGCAATAAAGTTGACCACTTCTTCGACTACATAAATTCGAGTTGTATTTACAACAACATACTTAAATAAACAAAATAATAATGTTCATATTTATATCAGTGTTTCCTTCCTACCATCAAGACAAGTATTTTTTACGCATTTTATGAAAAAGTCTGAGAAACAAATGATGAATAACTTACCACAGATAGAAGTATCGAAGATATTTTACCGGCGACCATTATTGCTTTTTCCTTCGATAAATAATTAGAACATGGCACAGGTTTGTACAGCAATTCACTATTTACATAATAAATCTATAATAATTTTGTTCATAACTATAACAACACAACAGTATTTAACACTCGAGTTTCAATATTTATGAATTAGAAGTTGTCACAAGGAACATTTGACATTGATCTACACATCAATTACACATTCCGTCGGTGTACTTATTAATCACATGAAAGCAGATGTCCAGATATGTTCCATGACTTTTTTATAAGATGCCGAAAAAATGATGAAATTTTGTATTATCTAACTTAGTTAAACAATCGAATTAAGACAATACCAATTTGAGAAAAAGTCACTATAGACGGATTAAGATTTTCGACAGATTGCGATGTATATTTTCAGTGAAATTTACGGATGATACCGTGTTCAAACATGAGTGTTTGCGCGCGCCCTGGAATCGACCGGGCGTCCCGCCGCGCCACTGAGGCATCTCGCGAGGCTCCCGGCCCGCGGCAGTCTCGCGCATGCGTGCAGCGCGCCACCCACGCCTGTCTCCTCCAGCACGCTGCGAGCGGTACATTACTCGCTCACACACTCGCGCCGCACGTTCCTGCGCTCTGCGTATAGCAATAAGCAGCGTGTGCGCTCTTATCAACGGACACTGCATTGAGTGGCCAGTGATAAATGTCACGTCATCGGTTTCTGTAAGACAGAGGCGTCCATCTGTATATTCTGTCTTACTTAATCAACTAGTAACTACAAACCGTAAACCGACAAGTGTAACATATAGTACGTATCGTGTCAGGGATAGTGTTTATGATCCGGTATCGTTAAGGTGTCCCCTCACTTACTAAGTTACTATTGCTCATAGTTACTCCTTGTCTTTACATCATAATATAAACACATTTGATCTCAAAATGAACTAGATATCTCCTTGAGCTGCTTGGCCATGTAATATCTCATATCTATTTTGTTGCGCTACGCGCTACGTCATCACTGGACATCTAAAATGCTTTACCTCCCAACAAATTGATGTTGGCTGACACGAATTATTATTGTACCATAGACTTTACAAAATGAAATAAATGTAGGTAAATAAATTCAGTTACTAAAATAAGTGTTGTGATTTTGAACGAGTTCCTATTTGTCATCGTACCTACATGCCGTGTAATGACACAAACCTCTTCCCACGTGATTAACATATAGTTTTAGATTTATTTAGGTGATCAAGATAATGGAATGAAAAGTCCAGTTAACCATTGAGAAGCGCCTGTATTTCTCGACACTGTATAAACTTGCAAGTTACAGATAGAGGTATAGCTATAATAACGTAAAAAAGTTATAAGTAACATAATTACAAGTAGATAATTAACATGAATTTAATTAACTGATGTAGACAAAATATTTTAACAAGGTCTTTCAAATCACATGCTTTCATATGTACGTATTCAAACTTCAACCAAAACATGGCCTAAATGAATATACCTACAAACTAATTCAACAATTCATCTTACATTCAATTAACAAACATTGTCACCAAGACTTATACATTCACTAGCACAGTCAAGCCGATGCTAACATCAGCGGGCGCGGTAATGGTACGAGCACTGCTACAAGCACACGATGCGCTCTGTGAAGACGCCGATGATGGTCATGTCGGTGGCCAACGCAGTGCGCATTACCTGCGGCGCCACGCTGTCCCGCACGCGCAGCGTGAATTCTCGCCGCGCCGCCGCCGGCAGCCCGCCGCCCGCTGCTGACAGTATCCTGTTGCGCCCAGCTACGTCCAGCGGCTTGCCTTCCTCGCTACTGCCGAGCACAGTCCGCAAGCACAAGGATCTGCAAGCTTCCCTCTCGGCATCGTATAGTTCTCGAGCCGCTATTTCAAATGTCCGTCTAGTGTCTACTCCACCGACTGATGAAGTAGCACATGGTACACCCTCTTCGTGTGCTTTAGCTGCACCAGCTCGTAAAATAGCCGGCAGTAATAATTCAGTGGCAGCACTGACAGTTCGCGACCTTAGGAAATGCAATACTTGCTCAGCCTCGCGGGTTTCATCAAACAGTCTGCGCTGACGAGCTGCTGGCACAGGCCGTGCGACACTCCATGCCTCCACCCAAGGGTTCCCGGGTAATAACATCCGGTCTCCTAGTGCACCACCATCGTCAGGTTTCCAGTCTCGCGGCGAGTACCAACGCACGAAGTCACATAATTCGGCACCCGGGTTGGCCGCTTTAAATGCCTCCATATCAGAGAGAAGCGAAGCACTCATCATTCTAGCCCGAAGTTCAGACGCTTTCGCGTCATCTCCGAGACGCACCATTAGTTCTGCGTCTTCTTCTAACTGGTCTTCAGTTTTCGGTGCAGGATCCTACATTCCAAAGATAAAATATGCAAACGTTCAGTTATGGCAATTTAAGTTATTTAAATAAATATCAACCAACAGTTAATTTTGCTAATTCTGATAACTTTCTAGTTGATAACCTCATTAAAAAATTGTGTAGTACCGGATAGATATGCAAAATACTTTCTTCCATATAATCAAGCATAATTTACCAATGGAACTACAATAAAAAATGTTGAACTTTAGTCATCAATCAAATAAATATATTTAGCATTTTATAAATACACACCTGAGTTCGGGGAATATAGAGAGGCGCTCCGTTTTTTAAAGTGGCGTCGCCAAATTTATTGAGTCGCCCGACTGGTCTGTTCCAGGGCAACTGTTCTTCATTTTCTCCTTCAGAACAATCAAAGAATTCGTCTTCCGAAGAATTCCCCGCCACACTGCCAGTGCCGTCCAAAGCTCGCTTAATACAACAGTTTAGCAGTTGCAGCTTTTGATGAAGCAAACATGTTCGTGCGTTGGGTATACCGTCTGCAACTCTGTTAACAACAAAAACGGAAAGGTTATATTGTTATAGTAATTCACACCTATAATAGTTGAGGTATACCATTTGCAACAGAAACTCTATTTCGCACTTTACACATTATGGACTGCAATACTAAGCAAGTTAATAACTTACAAGTGAATTAACAAATCAAGTGATCAAAGTTATAGCACAAACTAAACGTAAGTGTCAGCAGGCAATGGCGAGTCGCTGTGACATCAATATAGTCGATAACAATCAGGTCAAACCTTAGCGCGTTATTATAAGGCTTTCTCATAACCGTAGTTTTATAGCTCCTAAACGAAACTCGCAGTTATTACAGAATTCAAGCTGTGAATTGCTGAATGCATTAGGTAATTAGGTTACATTACTTATCCTTAAGGTAAGTGCAATCACGATTTACATGGGCACATAGTTATACATAAGGATTAGAAATACAAGCGAAAAGTTCGTTTACTACGATTTATTGAGATCAACTACTTTTCATCATGATGATAATTAATCATGTCAAAAATCTTTGTAGGTATAAGCAAGCTTTTACTTTTTTTGTCTATGATAAAATCTACTCAAAACGTTACAAATGATATTTTTACATTCATTAACCAACGACTGTCACGTAGTTTTGCCTACATGTCTCAACTTTCACTTTAAACGCCATTTTAAATAGATAAATACTAGTATATTTCCTCAAAAAGAAAGCAAAATATGAATCATGTTAGATACGAAATATTTTGGCGTAACATACGGAACAAGTATTTTCTCTTTCGTGTATGCAAATCCTTAAGTGCAATGCAACCACAGCACAATTGAGCTAAGTGGCAAGCAATGTTCGGAAGTAGCTGGATTGTTACGCAGTAGCCGCCTGCGCACCTGCGGCCATCCGACGGAATCAGAACGATTTGGTCTCGATTAGTGTGCCACGACCCAGAATCAACGGGAACTGAACTAAACGCGCGAACGCTCTCGGAACCGTTATCACATTGAATTACAAATGTGTTGCTGCGGCGCGGCGCTGCTGCCGGGCAGAAGGCGCTGCAATTCTGCGTCTCTAAGATGTTCCAAGTGTAATCGGTCGGTGAACCGTTTGTTTACCGGAGCCGGTGCGGCAGCAACCACTAGGTGTAGGTCAGGAAACACTGGTGGGGGCCTAGCGCCGGCCACCAGTCCGACGCCGACGACAGCCGCGAGCGCATCCACCGCGCAGACATGGACCTGCACTGCTCGATCTGTGTGTAACCGGTTCCTGACGCCGAAAGTGAGAGAGTTTCAATTGTTGTGATCTAGGATGAAACCTACCCGTGAACTACATAAATAAAAGCGCACACACAGTGATAGTGTTAGAACAAAGTGATCTGTTCATAAATCGTATGATTATTTATTGGCTGTCCAGAATTTTTCCTCAAAATGGTAAGTTTTCGAATAAATAAGTTCCAAAAATATGTCAATGACAATAAAAGCTAGCAGGTAAAGCTTGACAGAAAATTGTCTAGTCGCGTACGTTGACCTACTTCTTGTGATGTATCAAGTGTATGTACGAACAACCGGCACAAACAACATTGATGATACTTACTAGATACTACACATAATTTATGATAAAATAAAAAACATTGATAGAAATCTTATATTTGTACAATAATTATTGTTCTAAATAAAAATTAGGATTGTGAAAATCGCATCAGTGGTTCTTGAGATAGTATCGCGTGCTAATAATCTGACTGAGGTAGTTTTTATACTATGTACATAATATGTGTAAAGTAAATATAATATATGTAGTTAATATTTTATACAGATTAAAAAATATATATGTAATGTGTTTCACGAAGTTTAAACACACCAGCATTGCCAACCAATGATGCATAGCTTATAGCTGGTGTTTCAAGTTCATGTTTCGTCTTCAATTAGCTGCTCAGATCTGGGGGCTTACTCTTGAATCCAATTCCGATCGATCGACATTGGTATTGAGAAATTTCGTACTCTTGAGTTGCAACATTAGCGCCCATTGCATCCGTATTGCGTGGATATTGAATGAACTAAATGGTATTGAGTTTAGCTTTATATTCTGTACACTGAATGCTACTTTGTCAGTTACGATAGGGGTTGTATAGTTTTGACATTGAATAATTATTGAGCTTTTATTGGATTGAAATTGCTTTGACATTGAGATTGACTTCAAGAGTAAGCACACTGAACTGTCCTGAGTTTTGTTTTGTCTTTCTTGCTAAATATAAATATTTATGAAACATTATTCTCAGGTTTTGTTTTTACTACTTAATGTACCTAACCAATAATATTCTGACACTGAAAAATAATAACCAGTTTGTGGTTAACTGTTCAAGAACTAGCATATGAGTTAAAAGGGAGTCCTTTTGTTAACACATTGTTATCATTTTATTTCTTATTCGATAATAGTCTAATTGGCTTAGTTAATAAAAACCTACGCTACAGAAATAGCAATAAGTTACTTTGCTATATCTTTAGACAGTACTTAAATGTCATATTTTCGTTGTTCTATGAAATTAAGTGTGTTAATTTTTTATTAACAGTACTTTCTATAATCATAATTATGCTTATGGCAGTGACCTACATGTTAATGCTGTTATACATCATAAACATGTTCAACTTTTCATATATTTCCATACATAATATATACCGATAATCATCTTAATACACACCGGGAGTGCAGGCTGATGACCGCAAATGTTTTATGTGCATAGCATGCATGTATGTATGTCATCATAAAGAGAATCACGAGACGCATCGTGACAGCGAGACACACGTGTGACTCTAGCTGTCAACGATGCACTTTCTCTAATACACATTTTTTGATATTTTCGAGAGTCAATGTGATTTCGCCTTCGACAACTCTTTCCAAACTTGTTTGTTTATAAATTGCGATATCGATAAGAAATTGTTCGTTCATAGCAGTCAGTTTAGCTCGTTTAATAGTTTACTCTGGTGGTTTGTTTACTTGACAAAGTTTTCTTATGTGCCGGCTTAATGGTGTATTTGTAGAGGCGACGCGCCGGTGCGGTGGGGCGCGGGCGCTCACCCTGCGGCGACAGGGTGGCCCAAGGCCCCAGCACCCAGCCTCTGAGCCGCTCCATCTAAGTCAGTTCCGGACTTTCGACTTCGTTAATAGCCACCCTGTTTACTTTTACCTATCTAACCGTGGTGTTTTTCTTCCAAGAGAAATCAAATAAAACGTCAGCGATCGTTCACTGTAATATGGAGATTTGAACCTGACGTGACGCGAGCGGTACCAACAAAAGACGCGATTAGACACGCTTACACTCATAGGTACTTACTCTACTCATAGGTATTAAAGGTATTTGGTTTATTTATTTTACTAAACAAAAGAGATGTTATTATTGACAATGATGTTAGTTGTTTTATCAACATGCGCACAAAATAGACTGAACTATCATTACCGCCGAAATATAAAGTTGTTAATTAACGTGTTGAGTACCGTCATTATAGACACAATTAAAGAACAATAGGTGGCGGTCACCGGTGACCGCGCGGTATTTGACAGTTTTAATACTAGACATAAGTAAACAGTAATTTATTAAATATGGAGTAAAAACTAAACGCAAGCGATTTCGGTCTCTTAAATTGTCCTAATCGGCACTTTTGTCGTCAATTAACCTTTTTGCTGTAATGTACAAAATATACAAGAAGACGTAATATAAGCGGTATTACACATATTTATTATTTACTGCATTTATATTATATCTTAAACATAATAATATCTGAAATCAGTTTTAAGTTTAATATAAATAAATTGTAGCTAAATGTAATGGAATACCATATAAATTACTATCGATAATTTTAAATGAAATATGCGAATATTTCTCTTTAAAATTACATGTACATACAATACGGAATAAATACTCAATCAATTGTCAAATTAGGTAATTCCTTGTAATCATCAAGATTTAGATATTATACACACAAAGTTTTTCAGTGGAAAATGAAAAATATACAAATTTGTCTGTACATAAAATACTTTTTACTGCATGATTTTCATAAACGAATAGAGCTATTTGTACCAAGTTAACAAATTCCGGTCAGTAAATTGTAACAAAAGACAGGTACCTATATGCATTCCTGCAGCAGCTAGCCGGTAGCTTGCGCAGTTTCCACCGGCAAATGGTGTTACCCGTGAAATTCAGTAGCCAATTAATTCACGTAGCACGCTTTGCGCTTTAGGAACATTTTAATTGCCATACGCGAATCTGTTTCTCTACACAAAAAAAGTATCATAATTAACAAAATTGTGTTAAACTTAGCGCATATTTCAATTATTTTGTGTACCTAGTACCTATTTATTACTAGTTCTTTTTTATTTTAATACCTAATGGCATTGAGTAACCTTGTACGTAACAACTGAGTGTGGATTTAGTTTTTACGACAGTTTTCACTCAAGATCCAAGAATGGACAAAAACCAGCGCTGAGGAAGCTGAGACAATAGGCAGAGTAACTGTGTCGTAGGTTAGTTGTCGATGCACGTCCGTGAGAGACGCGGCGCACCTTGATTGTGTACGAACAAGTTGCTGCATCTACACATCATGCTATGACAACAAGCAATTCATTTTTACAGTTTACTTCTTTTTTTGCTACAATAAATATAGACAATTAATAAATATTTCCGCATTAGTCTCGAAGTTTTCTTTTCTGGGACGCAATGGCCGGCAACAATTAAGTCATTCACCCCGACATATTTGGCATGACTATGTAGGTATAAGTGATAAGGGCGCACAATTAATTAGCTATAGTGCAACCACATATCGCAGAAATATGCATATTGTGTAGGTATTTAGGAAACACCTCTAGTCAAAGGGTACCTACGGAAAATATTTTGTCGCGGAATCAATTTTAAATAAACTTGTAGGTAGATACAAAAACAAGCAAATAAGTACGTCCATTTATGAAGCTATAAATTTAATACTCCTTATACGTTATGTGATATCGTCAATACTACCATCACGGAATGC